AAACCGCAACGCAGATCTTCGCAAACGCGGGTCAGCCAATATGCGCGGCCGCCTCGCGGCCACGAGCGGCTCGCTAACCCGGGTCAGCCAGAGGGGGTCTTCGCAGGATCCTGCAGGATCTGGTGCCCTGGCTGACCCCCGTTTGCATTGACCCCCGTCTCAACGCTCCCGAACTCGGGGTTGAAGACCAGTCCCGGGGAACGGGCCATCGCTCGGACGTCCATCCCCTGTGCTTTTTGTTCGGTCTCGTGCGCGGTGTCTTCGCCAAGTGATCAAGGATGCTCCTCGATGGACCTCGCCGAAGGAAAATTACCAGCCTGGAACATATCCCTATCCCTAAGCTGGGCATCGCCTCAACACCATGCCAATCTTAGGGAGTCCCTCAGTTTTTCAGGGCGCATCCCCAAGATTGCCATCGCCTTCTGGCGTGTCAATCTTATGGATAGGGATGCGTTCGAGGCTGGTGAGAAAAATGCACACGTCCGAGCCGTGCCAAGGGAAGTGGTCGGGAGGTCGGGGGAGCGCGCCTCGAACGAATCGAGACGTCGCATGTCTAGGTCCGGAGGGTGTACCAGGCGCGGCGGCCAGTTGCAGGGCGCTCCGGGGCGCCCCAGGAACTTTCGGGAGCGACTTATCCACATCCTGCCGGTCTGCCTGGCCTGGGCCCTGTTGGGGCGGCCTGGGCGCATGGCGTTGCGCCGCTGGGCAGGTGAAACAAGAACTTGCACGTCTTGGAGGGGCCGATTGTCATTGCCGCGGACGGAGCCGCCCCCAATATTCTCTATGGTTCAAAGGTGGGGTCCAGAGGGATGGGGCTCTAAGGATAAGACAGGATCCAAGGGTGTATCTACATTGTTTTTTTGTGCAACTCGATCTCAAGACCCAAACCTTGAAGACTCCATCGGGTCTTACGCGAGATGGCGTAGCGACCTTACGCGGTGGCTTACGCGGGCCGCCAGCGCGGCACACTGCGTGGGTAACGAAGGCGCTTACGCGCGACCTTCCGTGGGCAACTTGCGCGCGAATGTCGGTGCGGACGACCCCGCTTTTTTTGGGGGGGGGCGTCGCTCATCTCTGAGCCACCGAAATTCTACTTCCGCTGGCCTTCCACCGATTTTTATCTTCAGGGCAAACAGAAGCACGCAACAGAAGAACATGTCAACCCCACCGGCCCCTTCGGAGGCGAGGCCCCTCCTTAGGCACCCTCCATCGCAGACGTCCGCCGACATGTTTTTTTCTATCCGCGGTCCCAGATGTCCCGACCGCTGCCTCCAGGGTACGGCCGGACCTGGGACAGACACACACATCCTTCGAGAACGTGAGACCCTCCGGCGGCCAACCTGAAGAACATCCGAGGGCTACCCTCTCCCAGGATGCACAAGAACAGCCAACAAGCACGAAGAACATGATGCCCTCCCCCAAGCCGACCTTGCTCTTATACCTCGAGCCGACCGTCAACCGAAACCACGACGACGAAGACAACCTCGGACAAGTCGGTGATCTCTGGGATCCGACGGTTCCGGAGGACGCGTCGGGCGCCGCGGCCTTCTCAGGAGTGTTCGGGAGCGCTCTGAGCGCGTTCTGGAACGCTCTTTGGGGAACTTTTTTTGGTCGCAGCCACCAGCGAGCGCGCAAGCGGCGAGAGAAATTGTCCGGGCCGACGGGCAAACCTAATTAGCTACTGAGCGCCGCACGAGCCGGCCGGACTCTTTGGGGAACGAGCAGTGACACAAACATAATAACTCGGAGGTCCTCGCGGATTTCTCGGGTCGGCACTGAGGCCCCCTGGCGGCGCCTCTGGCGCCGCTCCTGGCGCGCTCCGCGCGCCAGGGAAGGGGGTCCACCGCGGATTCGAAAAGTCCGCGCGGACCTCCGAAATCAGATGTTTATGCAATTTTTCGTCTCCCTTGGTCTGGAACCGATTGATCCCTATCCTGGCCCGGCCCGACCTGGGGGCAGTTATTCTCGCCCCAGGTCTGCTTCTGCTGGCCCCGTGGGCCGCTGGGATCGGTGTCCGCTGGTGCGAGGCGGGGACATGTGTGTGTGTATATATCTATATATATATATATATATATATATATATATATATCCGATATATGTACGAGAACGCGTTTCACGGGCGCTTGCATTGGGAACATTCGGCGGCGCGTTTCGAACGGAGGGGGGTCCCCCCCCAATACTCGGCGCCGTCGATCAGAACCAGGAGACTCCCCTCCCCCTACCCCCCCCCCTCCCGAACCCCAAGGGGGGGATCCAACCCCCCCCCCCTTCCGGCGCCAACGCTGGCGGCCGCCGCAGCGCCAACGCAGCGACGATGACCAGAGATGGCCAGGAGGGGGGGGGGAGGGGTTTTTCACCCCCGGCGGGGCTTCAAAACCCCCCCCCCCTCCCCCGCGCCGGCGCCGGCGCGCTGGCGGCGGCCAGCAGCGCCGACGGCGGGGACGCAGACGTGAACCGAGAAGGGCCTAGAGGCCGCAGAGGGAACACACAAATCGCGCCATTTCGAGCCCTCACATGCTCCCCAGACTCCCCCGCCCCCGAGACCCTTTTGACGAGACCTCAAGAGGCACCCATTAGAACTCTGACCCCTCGCCAAAGCACAGTGGCGAGAAGAGCCGAAGGCCATACCACCACCACCACCACCACCACCACCACCACCACCACCACCACAGACCACCATACCACCACCACCACCGCCACCACCACAACCACCACCACAACCACCACAACCCACCATCAGCACAACCACCACCATCACCACAAACCACCTCACCACCACCACCAAAAACGAAACCACCACCAGCACCACCACAACCCACCACAACCCACCACAACCACCACCACCACCACAAACCACCACACCATTACAACCACCACCACCAGTACCACCACCACAACCACCACCATCATCACAACCCACCACCAACACCACCACCAAACCACCACCACCACCACCACCACCACCCCACCACCACCACCACCACCACCACACCACCACCACCACACCACCACACCACCACACCCACCACCCACCATCCACCACCACCACCCCACCACCCACCCACCACCCACCACCCACCACCTCACCACCACCACCACCACCACCACCACCACCACCACCACCACCACCACCACCACCACCACCACCACCACCACCACCACCACTACCAGCAGCACCACCACTACTACCACCAACACCACAGCCCACCACCACCACCACGACAAACAACAACGCCACCACAACCACAACCGCCGCCCCCACGACCACCACCATCACCACTTCAACCCACCACCACCACCAAACCACCACACAACCACCACCACCACCACAACAGCTCACCACCACCACCACCACCACCGATACAACAACCCACCACCACTACCACCATCATCACCACAATCTACCACACCACCACCACCGCCACAACCACCACCACTTCTACCAGCAGCACAACCCACAACCACCACCACCACCACCATCACCACAACCACCACAAACCACCTCACCACCACCACAACCACCGCCAGTACCACCACCAGCAACACCCCTGCCGCCGCCGCCAGCCGCCGCCGACGCCGGCCCGAGGCGAGGGAGAGAGGAAAAGTAGGGGAGCGGGGGGTGGGGGGTTCGAACCCTCCCCCTCCATCCAGGGGGGGGAGTCCGGTTTCCCCCCCCCCCTCCCTCCAAGCGGCCACAGAACGCGCTCTTTTTACCTAACAGCGAAGACTGATAGGTTTCTAGTAGGGTCAAGAGAGAACATCATGACGCCCCTGGGGGGTCTGGGCGCGATCCGGGGGAGGGTGCCGGGTTTTTTTTGCCAGCAATTACACGCTTTGTGGCCTTCGAGGTCCCAGAACTCCATTCCCGGGCCACATTCTGAATGCCCGGAGCCAACTGTAGGCCACTTCGTGCTCTTCGAGTTCCCAGAACTCCATTCCCAGGCCACATTTTGAATGCACGGAGCCAACTGTAGGCCACTTCGTGCTCTTCGAGTTCCCAGAACTCCATTCCCGGGCCGCATTTTGAATGCTCGGAGCCAACTGTAGGCCACTTCGTGGTCTTCGAGTTCCCAGAACCCCATTCTTGGGCATGATTTTGAATGCTCGGGGCCAACTGTAGGCCACTTCGTGTTCTTCGAAATCCCAGAACTCCATTCCCAGGCCATATTTTGAATGCTGAGGCAGGCTGATGCTGAGGCTGAGGCAGGCTGAGGCTGAGGCAGGCTGAGGCTGAGGCCGAGGCTGAAGGCAGACTGAGGCTGAGGCTGAAGCAGGCTGAGGCTGAGGCTGAGGCAGGCTGAGGCTGAGGCTGAGGCAGGCTGATGCTAAGGCAGGCTGAGGCTGAGGCTGAGGCTGATGCAGGCTGAGGCTGAGGCAGGCGGAGGCTGAGGCCGAGGCTGAAGGCAGACTGATGCTGAGGCTGAAGCAGGCTGAGGCTGAGGCTGAGGCAGGCTGAGGCTGAGGCTGAGGCAGGCTGAGGCTTAGGCTGAGGCTGATGCAGGCTGAGGCTGAAGCAGGCCGAGGCTGAGGCCGAGGCTGAAGGCAGACTGAGGCTGAGGCTGAAGCAGGCTGAGGCTGAGGCTGAGGCAGAGGCTGAGGCTGAGGCTGGCTGATGCTGAGGCAGGCTGAGGCTGAGACCCATGCAGGCTGAGGCTGAGGCAGGCGGAGGGGGAGGCCGAGGGCTGAAGGCAAAGGAGCTGAGGCTGAGCAAGGCTGATGCTAGGCTGAATCAGCCTGGGCTGAGGCAGAGGCAGGCTGAGGCTGAGGCTGAGGCGAGGCTGAGGCTAGGCAGGCTGAGGCTGATGCTGAGGCTGAGGCAGGCTGAGGCTGGCTGAGGCTGAGGCCGAGGCTGAAGGCAGACTGAGGCTGAGGCTGAGGCAGGCTGAGGCTGAGGCTGAGGCAGGCTGAGGCTGAGGCTGAGGCAGGCTGAGGCTGAGGCTGAGGCAAGCTGATGCTGAGGCAGGCTGAGGCTGAGGCTGAGGCTGAAGGCAGACTGAGGCTGAGGCAGGCTGAGGCTGAGGCCGAGGCTGAAGGCAGACTGAGGCTGAGGCTGAAGCAGGCTGAGGCTGAGGCTGAGGCAGGCTGAGGCTGAGGCTGAGGCAGGCTGATGCTGAAGCAGGCTGAGGCTGAGGCTGAGGCTGATGCAGGCTGAGGCTGAGGCAGGCTGAGGCTGAGGCCGAGGCTGAAGGCAGACTGAGGCTGAGGCTGAAGCAGGCTGAGGCAGAGGCAGGCTGAGGCTGAGGCTGAGGCAGGCTGATGCTGAGGCAGGCTGAGGCTGAGGCTGAGGCTGAGGCAGGCTGAGGCTGAGGCAGGCTGAGGCTGAGGCCGAGGCTGAAGGCAGACTGAGGCTGAGGCTGAAGCAGGCTGAGGCTGAGGCTGAGGCAGGCTGAGGCTGAGGCTGAGGCAGGCTGATGCTGAGGCAGGCTGAGGCTGAGGCTGAGGCTGAGCAGGCTGAGGTTGAGGCAGGCTGAGGCTGAGGCCGAGGCCGACGGCAGACTGAGGCTGAGGCTGAAGCAGCCTGAGGCTGAGGCAGAGGCAGGTGAGGCTGAGGCTGAGGCAGGCTGAGGCTGAGGCAGGCTGAGGCTGAGGCTGAGGCTGATGCAGGGTGAGGCTGAGGCAGGCTGAGGCTGAGGCCGAGGCTGAAGGCAGATTGAGGCTGAGGCTGAAGCAGGCTGAGGCTGAGGCTAAGGCGGGCTGAGGCTGAGGCAGGCTGAGGCTGAGGCTGAGGCAGGCTGAGGCTGAGGCTGTGACTGCGACTGCCGTTGTCACTGCGACTGCCATCGCGAATGCGACTACGACTGCGAGAACAGTAGAATTCTACAACCGGGTTCTCATTTGAATCTTAAGGGGAATGCTTCCAGATATGCTCCTACTTATCGCTGTCAGGTTGCTTTGCTGGGATATATATATGTACATACACACATACATCTATCTATATATATAGGTGTGTATATATATATATACACAAGACTGCAGTGGTGCTTCGCGCCATGCACCTTGGTCCTTGAAGTTTGGTGTGCAGGCGGACTAGCAGGAAGATCAAGCCGACAATTTAGCGATAACTCCTTGTTGCCTTTCTGGCATCGCCGCTATAATAATGTTATTCGTTATCCTTCCTCCATGCTTCTTTTTCCTCATTTTCGCCATGCCCTGCGCATTCTCCCCATCCTCATCAGCTCTTTTTGCGGAGGCTCCTCCTTGGAGAGCCTCTGGGGGCCTCGCAAAAATTACTTCAGGCTTTCTTAAGGCCTTCTGGAGGCCTCCTGGGCGTGTTTTGGGGGCCTCTGGGGGCTTCCTCGGGGCACCCTGCCTCCAACCGCGGTCTCCCTGAACGACTGGGTCACAATTTGGAATGCTTCGGAGGGTGTCTTGGGGCCATCTTGGGCCGCCATGGGGCTCTCTGAGGGCCATCTTGGACCCCTGTTGTGCCGTTTTGGGGCTCTCTTGGACTGCCTGGAAGCCCTTTCGGATGGTTGTGGGGCGATTTTGGAGCCTCCCACGCGGCTTCGGACGCCCAGAAGACCGCCGTCTTGGAGCGTCGGGAAGCCGAAAAGAGGAGAACCCCAAATAAACCATAAACCAACAGACAATTAATGATTTTTGCCTCTTGGGGCCTTCTTGGGAATGCTCTTGGAAGCCTCTTGGGACGCTTCGGGACACTATTTGGGGGTATGACGGCTTCTTGGGGGTCGTCGTGGACCATATTGGGGCTCTCTGGGGTCGTTTCGGGAGCGCGCCACGCCCTGCGAGGCCCGGGGGTCCGCTTCGAGGCCCGTCCGAAAGGTCCCATAAGGCCCAGATCCCGGGAGTCCGTTTTTTTTGGGTGGGGGACGGGTGTTCCCCCCACCTGGACTTGTAAACCTATAGGAGGAGGTCTCTATATTTTTATAATATATATATATATATATATATATATATATATATATGCACATATGTGTGTATGTATGTGTGTATGTATGTATGTATGTATGTAACTGTGTGTATGTATCGATGTATGTATGCATGTATGCATGCATGCACGCACGCACGCATGCATGCATGCATGCATGCATGTATGTATGTATGTTTATATAGATATGTGAATATATGTAAACATGTTAGCCCTCGCGGCATCAACCTCCCACAGTGACCTACCTCCTCCTCTCTTCGTCTCCTTTTCTTCCTCATCGCTTCCTTCTCCCCCTACTCAGGCCGCATCTCCTCCTCATCCACCATTCTGTCTCACCTCTTCACTTTTCCAATTCAACCCTCATTTCTCACTTTTCAGCCGTTATATAGGTTGGAGCTGTTAAGCCCATCTCCTTCTCTTCTCCCTCCCTTTCTCCTTCTCTCCTCCCCTTTGTATGGCTCCTCCTCCTCCTCCTCCTCCTCCTCATCCGCCTTTCTCCTCCCTCACCTCCCACCCTTCATGGGCATTGACATATAATTGAGGGATGGTGGGGGTGAGAAGAAGAAGCGGAGAATTGGATAGGCCGTGGTTTCAGTGGTAGTTCTGCCTCTGGAACAAGCTGTTCTGTATTATTTTATGCTCTGCTATCGTGTTATGTCTTTCTTTTCCATGCCAACCTGTCCGTAACCATGTTGGCTCCAAGCTGAACGCGTTGATTGCACCTGTAGCCATGGTCGTGCCATGCGAGAATGAAAAGGTGCGGCTAACTGGGGAAGCCCAGCGGCCAACCCAGCCAGCTTAAAGTCAAGGGCTTCTGCCATCCCTCGCCGACGCTGGTTGCGGCGGTGCCCTTTTTCTGCCGCGGGGTAAATTGGCTCGGCCACTTGAACAGAGGTACGATGTGGGCCCTGCCAGAGTCGGTGCAGGCAAAGGACAGTCGGCCCCTTTGCCGCTCCTCACAGGTGAGCGGCAAGGACGTGCGGCTGGAGCCACAGCTCACGAAGGTCAGGTACCACGACACTGCTGACAGTGGAGGTTCCAACAAGAATAAGCGCATCTGCGTGGCGCGGGCAACTTATTGTGGGCGACTTATTGTTCCGCTATTGGGGTTGGCCGAAGCCCGAGGCAGCCGCGGTGGCCGACGGTGGCGAGGTCGCCGAGAAGAAGGCAGCCCCTGACAAGGCTTGGGGTTTGTGCAGACGGAAGCGCCCCGCGGGAACTTCGACGACCAGGGGCTTTCGTGGGTGGAGCGTCAGCGCGTGGGCCCAGAATCCCCGATTCACATTCTGAAGCGGGGGTCGTGAACAGCTGCCTGAAACTAATAGCTGACCGCGACCACTTCGCCACCGACGAAAATCATTATCCGCCGTTGAAGCCTGGCACCCGCAAGGGGCACCTGCCCGCCGTGAACTAAACCGTGAAGACGATGATGGACAACGCTGTGCTTGCGATCGGCTAGGCGGGTTTCGGGAAGACGCCCTTCGCGTGCATCCTCGCCATTGCGATCGGCTGGCGCAGCGCTGACGGCGCGAATGAGCGTCGCCCTGGCCGTGCTCGCGCCGCCGTTCGCGCGCCGGCGGACATGGGCTTCTTCCGCGGGGGGGTCGGCGGGACCTGGGCGTCGTGCATCTTCAATGACGGCGACCTCGCAGACCAGCGGCCGCGCGTCCTCAGGGCTTCCCTCGACCCCGCGCAGGCCGAGGTCATGACATGCGCGCGCTGGGGGGCAGCGAAGTTCGCGCGCGGGCAGGCCAGGTGCCGGGCCGAGCCGAAGCGTTGGGCCCGACCAAATCTGAGTTGCATCGCGGGTGTTTTCCTGTTTTGGGAGGGTGCTTTGGCCATCGAAGCGGCGAATGTGGGGCGATGGTGCGCGGCGCGGTCGTCGGCCGAAACGAGCTGGCAAGCCTTTCGTTTCGCTTGGGCTCGGCGGCGAAAACGAGTTCAACGCCCGCGCCGAACCGACGGCCGAGGAGCGGGCCTGCGCGGCGACTTCCCCCAACACAACTATGCAAACTACATCGTAGTTGGTGGAGGTGATCCGACGCAAGGCGCATGTCCGAGAGCAGCGTGGGGGGCATGCTCAAGCGCTGTAACGTCCTGCAAAACGCGAAGCGCTCGGTATCTTTCAGGCCCGCTGGCAACGACTCGTCTGTCGAGAATTTGCCCCTCATGGGTGGCCATGTCAAGCCCGAAGCAGGGCGGATCCTCGCGCGGTTCCTCAGGCGCAAGGTGCGCTGCGACCATGAAGAGCATGACGGGCTCCTCGCCTTCGAGAAGAAGGATGTTCTCACGCTCGTGACCGAATCGCGCGCCGCAGCAGCGGGCGCGCGCGACGACAGGGGGGGCGGCGGCGCCGCCGCCGCCGCAGAGGGCAGCGCAACGGCGCGCGCTCCAGGCGGCGTTGAGGCAGCGCCCGTTGGCGAAGAGAACGTTCGCCCACGACGGCGCTGCTGACGCTGGGGCCGACGACGCTGTCGAGGAGGACGTGTTCGGCTTCGGTGGCGGCTTGGACGCGCCCGGGTCGACGCCCCCCAGAGAGCTGACGAAGGCGCGGGGCGCCCGCGTGACCGAGCTCATCACTGCCGAGGCGAACGCGGGCATCGCGGTGCCGTGGCAGGCGGGCGCTGCTTCGGGATCGAGCGGCGACGCGATCGCGTGGAGTACCGTGGCGGCGCCCTCGGACGCAGCGTCCGACGCACAGCCCCATATCGTCGGCTGCCGAGGACGATGTGGAGCAAGTGGCGATCTTCCGCAGCCTCGCCAAGGTCCATAACGGCGCGCCAGAGGACCTGGTCACCCCGCCGAGGAGGACCAGGAACACCACCTTGACCTGCAAAGAGCCGCTCTCGCCAATCGACTAGCAGGAGCAGCAACTGATTTTTGCATCGATGGTTGATCGGGCGCACGGGGAAACCACCGCCGTTGACGATGCAGAGTTGGACCTCGAGGCCGAGATAGGGGGCGATGCTCGATGCCGGCGCGGCGGAGATAGGCGAGGGCGCGGGCGCGCAGCCTTCAGTCCAGTCGGACTGCGCGAGCCGCATCCGATCGAACCCGCTCATTTTCCACGCGTGGATGCAATCCGCGTTGCGATATGTTGGGCGGTTGGTTGAGGACTGCCTCGGCGAAGTGTGCGCGGGCAAGCATATTGCTTATGACTGGTGCGATCGGCGATGGACAGAGCCTTATTCAGCGGCGTCTGGGCGCGATCGGTCGTCTAGTCTTCTGTCGTTCGCGTTCCATTGCTTCTGCCCGGTGCGTTCGCATCCTGTCGGTTTGGGCTCAAGGATGGGGATGGGGAAGCAGGACTCTGTGAGGATGGTGATGAAGAGAAGGAGGAGGAAGAGGAGGAACATAAGGAGAAGGAGGAGGAGGAGGAGGGAAAGGAGGACAGGGCATAATAGGAGCATGGACCACGGAACCATGCCAAGCACAAGTTTGTTGGTTTTTTTGGTCAAAGATACCACGAAACCGCGCCGGGCACAGGTTTGTTGTTTCTCTTTTGGGTTGCGGGAGGAGCGTGGCCATGAAACTATGCCAGGCAAGGTTTTTTTTTGGGGGGGGGTCAGAGATACCACGAAACCGTGCCAGGCACAGGTTTTTGTTTGTTTTTTCGGGAGACTTTGGCCACGGATATCTGTGGAACCTCCTAAAAACAACCAAACGAACAACAAAAACCTGTGCCTGGCATGGTTTCGTGGTACCTGTGACCCCCCCCTTAAAACAACTGTGCCTGGTATGGTTTCGTGGCCACGCTCCCTACGAAGCCATGCCAGGTACAGTTAAGGTCAGAGGTTCTGACCAACAAACAAAACAACCTGTGCCTGGCATGGCTTCGTAGCCACGCTCCTCACGAAACCATGCCAGGCACAAGTATTTTGGTTCCCAGGAAGTCTGGAGACCTTGGCCACGGAAATCTTCGGGACCGCCTGAAAAAAACAGCAACAACAAACCTGTGGCTGGCATAGTTTCGTTGTATCTCTGACCAACAAAAGCCCCCCCCCCCCCCCCAAAATGTGCCTGGCATGGTTTCATGGCCACGCTCCTACGGCGACTCTCCTGACCAAGCTTTGTGGAGGAGGAGGAAGAAGAGGAAGAAGAGGAGGAGGAGGAGCAAACGATTAATGATCGTTTTGTGATTTTGGTGGTTTGAGGGGTGCTGGAGGGGGGCGTCCATATATAGATGTATATATATATATATATATATACATCTATATATACATACAGATATGTATATATATATATACATATATATATATATATATATATATATATATGTATGTATACATGTGTGTATATATATATGCCCCTGGGGGCCCAACTGTGTCCATATCCACCGCCTGTGGAGGTCCGCGAAGACCGACCTCCCACGCGGCGGCTATGGACAAGTCCCCGCTTCGGCGTTGGCGCGCCGCTGGGCGCGGCGCGCCGTCGCCGTGCGCGGCGCGCCGTTCGGCGCGGGCTCCGCGGCGTTCGGCGTGGGCGTTCGGCGGGGCGCCGCTGCCGGGCGCGCGGCCCGGCCGCGGGCGGCGCCCGGCGCCCTGGGCCAGGCGACCGCTGCCGCCGCGGGCGGCCGGCGGGGGCCTGCCAGGGCAGGCGTCGCCTCGGGCGGCGAGGGGGGGCAGCCCCAGACATGCTCGCGGCTCGGCGGTGGACAAGCCTCCGGTGGACAAGCCTCGAAGATGGTCGACAGATGTTGGGCTTCATTCGGGGAGTGCGCCTGCGAAGCGATTTTTTTGTTGCTCGGCAACTTTTGCACCAGCGCGTTTGTGGCTTGCCCTGAGTCTCTGTAAACCTCCCCTGAATGAAAACGGCCTAGGACCGAAACCGACGGACCTGGACCCGCAAAGAGGACGGCCGCGACGCCCTCTCTCGCGAGACGAAAACGGCCAATTCCTGAGTCGACGCGTCAGGGTAGGAGGTCTGTCAACCTCCGAGCGTCGCGAAAATAGAGGCCTCCTAGATGGGGTTGGAGCGGATGGGGTCGGACGACCGCGCCGCTCGGCGATGCATCGGCGATGCACCAGCGATGCACCGGCGGTGCATCGTCGAGGTCGGCGATGCATCGGCGGCGTCCACGGGAGGCACATCGGGCTGCACATCGAGCCGCATCAGCGATGCATCGGCGATGCGGCGCAATCCTCCGACCCCATCTACTCCGACCCAATCTAGGAGGCCTAGAAAAAAACACGGCGGGAAGCTGTTGGCTAGTTCCGGCCTCTGGAGCCCCTCACAAGGTCTTGGGGCCGTGGACAAGCGATTCAGGACGACAAGCCGGTCCCGGGGAAAGGGTCGGGACTTGTGGGGAAGGGGCATTGAAATAATCAAGGCGTCGCATGTCTGGGGCGCCACGTCGAAGCCCAGATCTCGATGGGCGCGGCCCCGCCAGCCTGGCTGGTGACCGATTGCGGCTTTACCCTTCGAAATCTTCCGATCGACCTCAGATCAAGATGGCGAGCAGGTGTAAGATCCTAGCTTCCTGGAGCAATTGTTTAAAAACCCCAGCGAACGGTTAAACTTCGAGCAACGCTTCTCAACCAGGCTAGGAAGTACTCACAAGTTCCGTGGAGTTTGTCTGGTGCCCATCACCGCCGCCAGGCCTCGTAGACGGGGACGCGGATCCACATACGCTCCTCCTCCTCCTCCTCCTCCTCCTCCTCCTCCTCCTCCTCCTCCCCTCCCCTCCTCCCCCCTCCCCTCCCTCCTCCTCCTCCCTCCTCTCTCCTCCTCCTCCTTTTCCCCCTCCTCCTCTCCTCCTCCTCCTCCTCCTCCTCCTCCTCCTCCTCCCTCCCTCCCCTCCTCTCCTCCCCCCTCCTCCTCCTCCTCCTCCTCCTCCTCCTCCTCCCCCCACGGGCCCATATGAGGCACACCTCATCCCATGGCCCGGGCGCCGATGACCTAATTAGGCTCAGACTCGGGACCGTGGAGACTTGGTGGTGCCCTCTCCCCGGGCATCCGACGGCTGTGAGCAGAAGCGAGCACCATGCCGAGCGGCGCTCACGACCTCGTCTCCGTGCGGGACTCGTCGAGCCGCATCGAGCCGCGAAGGTCATCCCAGAAGGGCACCCCAACACGGCCTCACGGACCTCCCAGGCGTCCCGGAAGCGCGCAAACAGGGCCCCCAAACGGCCCAGAGTGACCCCCAAGACGGCCTCCGAAGGCCAAGGGGGCCCCCTTGCCCCTACGAGGCCCCCTACGAGGTCCTCGGAGGCCCCCAGGAGGACCCCAAGAGGCACCCTCCTCCTGCTCCTCCTTCTCCTCCGTCTACAAGTACTCAATATGAATACTACTCTCCCTCTTCCCCTGATGACGGCTTGAAAGTGTCCGATCCCCCCCCCCCCGCGTATTGTTTTTTACACACAGGTTTCCCCGGAGTTGGGTTTTCGCCTGCATTTTTTTCAAAATGCTGCTCTCGCTGAGGCGCCGACCTCATTTTCGGGCCCCGCTCGTTCCGAATCGTGCTCCCGCTGCAGCGCTGGCCTCATTTCCGTGCTTCCGCTCGTTCCGAATCGTGCTCCCGCTGCAGCGCTGGCCTCATTTCCGCGCTTCCGCTCGTTTCGACTCGTGCTCCCGCTGCAGCGCTGGCGTCATTTCCCGTGCCATGCCACGGCATGCAATGCAATGCTAGGTTGATACTACGCTTTGCGGTGCTCTTCTACGCCATGCCATGCCGTGCTCTACAATGCATCGCGTACCCTTTCGGGATCATTGCCCTGCTCGACATCCGACTGTGCGAGTAGAGAGGGGATCTACGCCATGGTAAGGGATGGGAGGGAGGGGTAGGATGTCAGACATGACGCGAGCGCACCTAGCTTGCCTCCTCCCCTCTCCTCCTCCCGCACATGTTCCCCAATGGGCTTCCACAGCGGCTGGGGGGAACACCTAGCCCAACGGCTTGGCAAAACTTCGGCACAACCTTTGGCCACATAGGCGTCTCCAAGAGGCAGGGGGCGGCGGAGGTTCGTCGCAGGCGCCTTCGATACCTGCGAGCCTTGCTTTACTGTGCGATTGCGACGCCCCGACGCCGAGGCCCTCGCCTCAGCAGGCCGCCGCCGGGGGAGCGCCGCCGAGGGCGCGCCGCCGGCGGCCGCGCAGGAGGCCGAGGAGGAAGCCTCAGCAGCACGCGTCGTAGGTGGTGGACTGCCGGCAGGAGCGGCACAGACGTCGGCTCGTGGGGGTCCGCGCAGAGTTCCGGGGCTCGGCACCGGGAAGCTCCTCCCCGCCCCCCCGCGCTTTCCCTCTCGGGGCGCACCCCTGGCCATCGCTCGGACGTCCATTCCCGGTGTTTTTGTTCGGTCTCGTGCGTGGTTTTTCCGCCAAATGATCAAGGGTGCTCCTCGATGGTCCTCGCCGAGGGAAAAGTGCACACGTCCGAGCGATGCCGAGACCCCTGGCGGCGCCTCCAAGATCGCCCCGGGGGCGGTCCACGCGCCCGGGAGGCAGGTGCGGCGAGGGGCTCTCTCCGGCGCCTGCCGGAGAGCTGCGCGCGGACCTCCGGGACTTTGTGGCGGCGTCCCTTCTTCCCCAGACCTCCGACGCCTCGATCTTGGGCCCTGGCGCCTGTCGAGAGGGAGGAGGGGGAGGAGAGGGAGGAGGGGGAGGAGGAGGAGGAGGAGGAGGAGGAGGAGGAGGAGGAGGAGGAGGAGGAGGAGGAGGAGGAGGGGGAGGAGGAGGATGAGGACACCCAGCTCTTCGTCCCTGGTGCTGTCTAGATGGGCGGTCCTGGGAGCACGGGGGCGGCCGCTCGCCGCCGAGAGCTGCAGAGCACACCCTCCTGATGTTTCGAAGCGTCGGGAGCTCTGGGGTCGCCTGTTTCGGCGGCGAGCGAGGGGGGAAATTGAGAAGAAGAAGGCCTTCTGAGACGGCGGCGGGACGATGATTCCGCTGCTGATGATGATGATGATGATGATGATGATGATGATGATGATGATGATGATGATGATGATGATGATGATGATGATGATTGATGATGATGATGATGATGATGATGAAGAAGGAGGAGGAGGAGGAGGAGGAAATTTTCTGTTTTCGGGGAAGGCTGAGAAAACGTCTGAAGGCGGGGGGACTCCCGAGCCTTCCGAGAAGGCCTTCTCCTTCTCGCTTCCCCCCCT